CATAGTACTCTCTATTAATTGTGATATTCCTTCTGTCATATGGGAGAGGCTCTGCTGCCCATGACATTTGAAACAAAATCAGAGCATCATTACTGCTGAATGATATATCTTTGATTGTGATGTATGCTGGAGGAGGAGGAGGAAAGGGTCTAGCATCAAATGAGGCTGTGAAGTTTCTTTTAATGTATCGAAATGTTTCCGGAGCATCTCTATAATATTCTGTCTCAAGCTATTTATAATGATATATTAAATTAAGTAACAATGATAGCTGACTTCGAAGAAAAGAAATCCTTCATTGAAGCTATGAACATCATTGAATTCAATGGAATAATTTAAAGAGTCCTGCAATAGAGAAAGAAAGTGCAGGAACTTTAAATAATGCTAATTCATAATATTACATTATTGTGAATGAAAAGAACAGATTTCCTATCATTTGAAGGTCTTGTAAGATACAAATTGAATCCAAAAATTCCCTAAATAAAACACCCAATTTTCATTGTTCAGGCACACATATATCACTATACTGTAGTAAGGAAAGGTTGTGTAGGAAGTGACCAGCTAAACATAAAAGAATAGGTTTGATAATGATCAGAATCTAATGTCACTCTCTGGGAACCAACAAAAAGCAAATCAACAAGATAGTCTTTTGGGACCATATTAGTGCCCTTAGCTGGAGCAGCAGTAAGAAATAAAACATAGTCATATATTTTATCTTACTGGATATTTCAATGGGGAAAGAATCGGGAAGGCCGTATTCAGGCTTGTAGGGAAGAGATAAGATCTTTAAAAATACACAAAAATATTGTTATTTATTTTAGACGGAGTACAAGTACATGCCTTGAGATCATAGGTACAATTATTCAGTGGTGGGCTGTCTCCACCTTCCCAAGTAGCTGATAAAACTGATGACTAAAGCAATAACAAAGATACACGTTAATATTCCAGCTTGACTTACATCGTTGATATGGATTTGTCTAAAGCAACAACAATACAGAAAGAGAGGTTCAATCACAATAAGGTAACCAGTTGCATATCTAGCATCTATAAAGAGAGGATCTTTACCCTTTTGTAAGAGGACACACTTACTGTGAGGTTGCTGCCATGATATAGTAACAATAGTTTGTTCCCAGTGATGCATTCTTTTATCCTCTTCTACTGTCCATTGAATGAGATGTAGTGATGGATGGTCAGGTAATTCAGGATAATCATCTTTTAAAGAGAGACAATGATATTCAGTTTTACTAATAGCTCCTACTTCCATAGACTGTGAGTGAAGTTGAATTGGAGAAATTTCCTCGTCCAAATTCATTGACAAGAGCAAAGCTAATTTTGACTTCCTCACACATGAAATGGGGATCCATGACAAACACACCATCATTGCTTGACTAAAAGAAAGAGGAGAGAAAATGGAAAATGTGTCATTTCAGCACCACAGCCCCAAGCAACCACAAAATTAATACAAGAACCTCATTATACAAGCTGCATAATGTTGGGTTTCACACAAAGCCATAAAACACAAACATGTAAACCATTAACATACTAGCCAGTAGTAAGCTGTAGGGGCCTCAATAGAAACTGGTTTAACCTGAAGGATAAAAGAGACCAGAGTGTCAGCAAAGTATGATTGAAAAGAAGAGGCATTGTATAGGAACCGGTAAGCTCCAGGTGCATGAAGATATGGCGAGCTGAAGGGTAATAGTGAGAAATTATGATCAGATATAATTGGAATCATGTCTAAAATAATCCTTATGAATTTAATGAAGCATTAACTGGTAATTACCTTCAGTGGTGTTCATCTCTTCATATAACTGGCATCCTTTCTCACAAACATCACTCAACTACAGTGTAAAAAGATCAGCTTTGCTTTTATGCAATACAAGGTAACATACGCAAGATATTGTACAGAGAGAATCGGGAAGGTATAACTTGTGACTTTTACAACTTTCATACTAGAAATTGAATTAGAATCAAGAAGAATTTAAGTCTCATGCTTACACAATCACTGGAACAGGCATCGACCGTATCACTAATGAGTTCGCATCCTTCTTGACACAAATAAACCTTCACAAAAATATTACTGTTCAGAAATAAGGGTGTGTTGTACCTGATTGTAAAAAGAACAATTTGCTCTCAGCTCAGCTGAACTAAACATAGACATGTCATACTCGTTAGCAAGACTGTACTACAGTGGGAAAGAAAGATATCACACAGTAATAAACGAATCATGGAAGGAAGGGATGGACTACCTCGTTCACACAAAGAGAGTAACATTGAGCTCCGAGAGTCACTGAAGAAAGAGAGTTCTTTGAACTTGTAAAGTTGCTGCTTGTTGTTTCTCCAGCTGTAGCTTTACAAGGTCTATTACCTGTGCCGTAATTGCCACTGCCGCTAAAAAAATCACCATCATCTTCTTCCTGATCGTCCATATGCACCGAAGCCAGAATAATAGTGAAAAGAAAACACATGTAAAGACCAGCAAAGACAGTTAGAGCCATTACGGAGTCCCGAGTCCAGTAAGTATCTAATCACAGCAATCACAACACGTGCTGATTAGATTGGAACGTGGGTGGTAATAAAAGCTTAATTTATAAACTACACAATATAGATCTAGATGTACACTGCTTGCATGTATATACTGAAGCCAGATGGATTGAAATGTACATGTACATACGTCATACATGCAGCATCTCAATTGAGAATGGAGTGTTTGTAATGCACATCAGTGGTTAAAAACAAAATAATGTTAAAACAGTCTATTCTTTACTCAGCCACCTACAGGAATGATAAGGAATGCTCAGTGATACAATACTAACACACTTCTCAATGTAGAAGAGTCACTATGCTGGCCAAAATGTAGACATCCTCCTATTGTCATTATTAACGTAACTGTCCTAATGATTAAATGCAATTCATATCAATACATAGCTACTACTGGAGCATTTGTAATCATTCTTCTTGTAGTGCTCTTAGCATCACTAGCAGTAGTAACCACTAGTGATCCCAGGCAGCGCCATATAATGATAGTCAATAGTATGTATTAAAACTAACTGTATGGGCTTCAATTTTTAACAGGAACTTAATATTGAAGTCTTAACAAAGAAAGGTTAATACATAACAATATTGATACTATACTGTAAGATCTTGAGTCTTTCAAACAGGGACTTGGTGTTGATGTGTAGATGATGAGTTGGTATAACTTAATATTATGTATATGGGTAGGTATGGGCCACCTCATGAGTGTACTCATTATATAAGGGGAACATAAGTGGGGTCACCTATACAAGGAACATGTATGAATTGGGTCACCTATATGAGGAATTTTTCTGGACACGGGATCTATGTCCAGCCCCACCCACACACCTGAAGGGATCAGCTCCGCTAAAGTTGTTGCTTGTTGTCTCTAACTGGCAAAAGTACAAGGTCTACCACTTGTGCAGTGCCACTAAAAATCATTCGTATTCATACATGCACCAAAGCCAGAATAGAAAACACATGTAAAGACCAGCAAAGACACAGCAATCCCAGCCTGTGACTAATTACATGTGGCTAATGGTTAGGAGATTTAAGTGTAATAAAAACTTAATACATTTCACACTGGGAGGTAGATGATGATATAAGGCTCTAAATTCTAAGTTTTATGCGGCAATAAAAGAGTTAAAACATAGTCTATGATGAATCCAGTTATCCCCCATATTCTTCTAGGCCCACCCAGATATACAGGAAACTGGACAGGAATGTCCTTAAACTTAGTATATTTTCTTGAGGAAGGACCAGCCAGATGAGAGAGAGGGAGAGCAAAAACAAAATCAACCTATAGAACATTGCAAAATAATAATAATAATGTTACAAAACAAAAGTGGAATTTATTCAAATAAATTACTTCTGATTTCTGAACGTCTAGTCTTTCAATGGATAGATCTGGGATGGTCGCAATGACAGGAGTGATCATTATTGCACCTCCTCTCTATTGAAGAGAAATAACAATCAATGATAATTGAGCACTTGTGAAATTGATGTGAAAAATGGCAAAAAATATACAGTTAAAAAGGCAAAGACTCTTACTCCGGGAATAGGTGGTAGGTCACCCCAAATATCCCATCTATGTCTCTCCACTCCTAGTTCCTCCTCTGTCTCTCTCAGTGCAGTCTCTATTAGTGAATGATCAGATTCGTCATACACTCCACCTGGAAAACTATAAAAAAATTTTGGCTTCAGGCAGGTTTTGGAGCAACTTTAAAAATTCATAAAAAATCCAATTTTGACCGGAACCAGCTGAAACCTTCTATGCAACATAAGTACATGTATATGTATAAGAAAAAATTATAAAAATTTTGAATTCACTCATAATCATGGCTTTTGATGAAACTGGTCATTGGCCAAATTTGTGGTTAATTGCTATTCCACAATAAATGTCTTTAATATCCCTATTATACTAGCATAGTGTCATCTTTAACTATCCCATACGGTATTAAGTCTAATAAGAGCCTACCTAACTTGCCCTCTGTGACTTCTGAGGCTTCTTGATCTAACAGTAAATAATAACTCAGGGTTATCCTCTTTAAGTATAAAAGGGACCAGGACGGCTCCTTCTTTCATAGTAGAAGAAGGTTTTCTCCTCACTGAGCGCCTCTTTAGCTCTGACAAGACTCTAGATTTGTTTGAACCTGTTAGGAGACGAGCCCATTCCGACATGTTTTGTGGGTGTGGTCCAAATAAACTCCACCCAGTCATAGATATTATATTGGAGTATAACAGTATAATTAGCACTATAGCCACTCCTCTAACTATAGTCTAAGGCCTCGCCCATTCTCTACTGCAACTGAGGTCAAAACTCAAAAGGAAGGGGAACAAGTTTGTATTCTGTAAAAGGCAGCTCCTGATTAAAGGTATGATAAGATTTACTGGGTAGCTACAGTTTCCATGCGCATAGTCTACATCAAATGCAATTCCTGTAGTACAGATTGAGTGCTTGCATGATAGTCACACAAACATAATGGGTGGTTGATTCTCCAACCATTTTTTGTTGTCGTCTGTTGGGGAATGATTATTGCAAAGTGAAAGCAATAATCTGCTGATTGTCATTTGTTAAAAACAAAATCATAGCAATGAAATTGTAAACAACATATATATAGCAGGATTGGATTTTTAACTATAAGAGAGGAGCATATGGTAACAGATAGAAAGTTATTGTTAATGTGGTAATGGGCTCTAGCTGACAGGTGTCCTGTACAATACTCTATGAATATAATTAGATACACTACATTCTCTCTCTCTCTCTCTCCTCAACCCCCCCTCTCTCTCTCTCTCTCTCTCTTTCTCTAGTTGTAATGGCTGACACACAACCGTTGCTTAAAGATCCCAGTACTAGTGGCTATGGGGGAATATCAGGTACATTATTACGATTTTATATAAGTGACACACACACACACTTGAAGCATTGGATAACATCTCAAGAGTTCAATCATACATTAGTTTATACAGCATGGAATGCACCTTGTCATGATAAAGATAAAGATAAAAGCAAGTGTTGTAAAGGATGTGGTTTAACACATGATATCCTGGACAACTAATTACAAAAATCAGCCCAATTAATATATATGACGTTATCATTATCATTGCTTGATTGTTTCACTATTCAGACTAAAGTATGGCATGTAGCTAAGAATAGTTGACAAATGACATCACATTGAGTTATTTTTACACCTCAGTCACATGTTAAATGATTCAAACACATTCTACTACCCGTACCCATACAGGTGCTCCAAGCAGCACACAGCCTTACCCTCCTCAAGGGGGAGCTCCCCCTCCATCTGGGGGACCCGAACAACAGTCAACCGTACCACCTGCTAATGTTGTTGATGCTGTTTCTGGATATGAAGGAGTTACTTTTCAAGGAGGTAAGAAAGTGGGCAATGCAACGAGTTCATTTATTTATTTATTTATTTATTATTATTATTATTATTATTATTATTATTATTATTATTATTATTATTATTATTATTATTATTGCTAATAGGGGATTTCATTGCTCCGCCTTCTTATGACGAGGCTACAACTGCACCCTCTCAGCCATCAGCTCCTCCCCCGCCACCGTGAGTTAATCAAACTTACTATTTTTTTATTTTTTTTATTTGCAGACCGACTCATGTTACGGAAGATCAGGCTAGACACTCTTTGCTGGATCTCACTGGACAGAATTTTTGCTGGGGAAAGAAAGCTGCTGAGGAAATGGCCATTAACTCCATTACATCTTCCTCTGCCTTTCATGTACAAATACTGATATGATTATTAATCTATTCTCTCTTAGTATAAATTAGATACTTTTACAGAGTCAAGAAAGACTACTTGGACCCACACTCCTTATTATGGCAAGTGATACACTCTCTCTCTCTCTCTCTCTACTATTCTTCTCTTGTTTGTTCTCTGTTTTTATTTATTTATTTATTTATTGAGTCAATTTATGCCCTCCAATTTCAGAAAGGAAGCAGAATAGAGAGCTATAGCCCTACTCTCAATCATTATTTATTATTAATTGTATTATTAATCGTTTTGTTAATTTGTTCTTTTTAGGTGATGCTATTGATGGTCCATTTAATGGCCCTGCTCCCACTCCATGGTCTATACCAATACAACCTGATGGTATGTTTAGGCAGCATGAGAAACGCTGTGAAGTGAGTCCATCATTACTAGCAATGATTAATGCACAGTATGCTCTACCAGGTCCCTCACACTGCTTGCGTTAAACCCTGTCACGACTGTGCCGGGACAGGATCACGTACATGCCATCACTGCCGTGGTGCAGGGAGGGTAAGTAAAAGCACAATGACCGATTGAGACACAGTGCTACTACTGTTTTATATAGGGATGTTGTACCTGGTGCAACGGAAGTGGATATCAAGCTAAGTTACACGTTGAAGGTCACCACGGTCACGGTCACCACGGACATGGTCACGGTCACCATGGTCATGGTCACGGTCACCACGATCATCATCACCATGTGCATACTGACATGACTCTGTGCCACCATTGTGCTGGAACTGGGAATAAAGTGTAATAGAAAAAGAGAGAGGGAAAGAAAGATGATTATATTTTTATTTTTTTTTTAGTTGTGGAGATTGCAATGGTTGTGGGAGGGTGAATTGTGGGACATGCAGGACTAAAGGACAGTTGAAGTATTACATTGAACTTACAATTTCATGGTAGGTTCAGTATCTATGCCTCACTTGACTTGTAGTAATAATACAATGCCTGTACATAGATCGTATTACACACTCATTTGTACATTTTACTAGTTGGGCAGCTGTTAACATTTTTCTGCCAAAGTAAACTCCAAAACGTCATGCAGTGTTTATAATTTTTGTTAGCACGTGTACGTGATCTAATTAATTGCTGTTAGCCTTCCATGTAATTACTAGCATCTTGAAGATATTTGAGTTACGAGCATTTATAATAAACATGTTAATTTTTCTGGGAAATTGACAATTATAGTATTTGATTTGCAGGAAAATACATTCTAATGATCACATTGTTGAGAGTACTGCCCTACCAGATCATCTCATTCGTGGAGCAGGTGGACAGGTTGCCTTTGAGGAGTCTGGTGCTAGAGTAAGGGAGCCATTCAATGTACACTCCATTACTCTATTCATGAATAGGTGGCTCCTGTTGGTCACTTCCCTAATGCACAGATCAATTCTGCATCTCAGAGGCTCGTGGGACAGCATGCTTCTGCCTTTCCTACTGAGAGGATACTCATGCAGGTATAATCATTATTTTTATGATTATTATATTATTATTATTATTATTATTATTATTGTATTATTTTTACTGTAGCGTCACAATGTGCGTATTGTTCCTGTTTCTGAAGTGAACAGTGATTATAAAGGTGCTCCTTTCACCTACTGGGTATATGGTACTCAGAACATTGCTTTTGCCCCTGACTATCCTCAGCAGTGCTGCTGTGGCTGCAGTATTATTTAAAGTCGAGGAGCTGCTTGTGTCTCTTTGTATTTCTGCTGACTAACACTTTTTAATAATTATTAAAAGTTGTTTGTTGTTTTTGATGCTATTTACATTATTTGTAACTGGTTTGCACAGGTCTTTGATTGAAATTTAATAATTATTTACGTGGGTGGGCTGGGTGCTTTTTAAAATTGTTGTGGGCGGTAGCTACAATAAAGGAGGGCGTATCTCAAGGCTTGGGAAATGGAGAGTGGAAGTAAGCAGGCATAGTATTTACCTCATAGCTTATATTGTATTAACTTTTAGATCCTCCTGATGATATATTGCAGAGTGTTTCTGGCTATGCTCCAACAGGTAAGCTGCACTATACTATAGTGAGAGGCATAGGTTTATCTCTTGTTTCAGATAATCTGATAGCTCCTCCAGTGCAGAACTTACCTCCAGCAGCTCCTTCTGCACCCCCAGCCCCTCCTAAACTGTCAGTTAATCCTTTTCTTATTCTACCTTTTTTTATTGTTGCATGTACATATTCAGTCCCACTCATGTTAACGAGGAGCAAGCAAGAGCTGCTCTCCAGCACTTAGCTGGAGAGAACCTTTGCTGGGGGAGGAAGGCAGCAGATGAAATGGATATGACGTCTATTACCCCATCATCAGCATTTCACGTGAGATAATAACATGTATTAATACAATAAATATACACCTAATACTCCTTTTAGTATAAATTAGAGACTTTCACAGAGTCAAGGAAAACTAAATGGGTTTTTGTTCCATATAACTGTATGACATAATAATGTAATAACCATTACTTAATTACTTTCTTCCTTTTTAAAGTTACTGATGTTGATGGTCCTTTTAATGGGCCAGCTCCTTTGCCTTGGAATATTCCTATAAATCCTGATTCTTTATTTGAGAACCACGAAAAAACTTGTCCGGTAACTAGCTACATTGTTACGCTCATATTTTAATGCTGAGAAATAATATAATAAATGTAATGCCAAGTACTAGGAATTTTTTGCTTGCTGTTAAAATAACTCCACTATAACGGTGGAATCTTCTAATCTTATTATATACCTACACTAGTTGCAAGATTACAAGGAAACACGTCTTTTTCTCACAGGTCCCACACACTGAGAATGTTAAGCCTTGCAAGTTTTGCTCTGGAATTGGAAGTAAAAAGTGCCTAAGATGTGACGCAAAAGGAAAAGTAACTCTCTATACATAAATTGTGCAATGTCATGATAATAATGCTTATGATCATTCAGATCAGATGTAGCCCATGTAATGGAAGTGGCTTTGTTGATAATCAGAGGTGCATGGCATGCAATGGAGATGGAAACCAAAGGTATAGTATGCATTTACACAGCATCTGCCTTTCACTTGTAAATGCACAGGTGTGCTGATTGTCGCGGTGATGGGCGCATAAAATGTGGCCCGTGTTCAGGAAAGGGACAGTTGAAATGGTTCATTAAGTTGACAGTATCATGGTAATCTATGTCACCTGTGCACATGACTCATTCGATTCCTGCATTCAGGCAGACTCACATAGGTGATCATATAATTGAGAATACAGGGCTACCTGATAGCCTCATTCGAGGTGCTGAAGGTGAAGTACCTTTTTCAGACATGCAAATAATGGTATGCTATGGGGATTATGTCATTCGTCTTAATTCCCATTACTTTATAGGTTCCACCAGTTAGTCATTTCCCTGTCAATGAGATCAATGCGGCATCAATGTCATTAGTTAGCCAGCATGCTACTGGATTCCCTAATGAAAGGATAATCAAGCAGCGTCATCAAGTCCGTGTTATCCCAGTGTCAGAAATACAAGGAGAATATAAAGGACAGCTCTGCACATTTTGGGTTTATGGAACAAACAACTTAGCGTATGCTCCTGATTATCCTCAAAAGTGTTGCTGTGGCTGTAACATACTGTAATACAGTAATTAGAGTCTGCTGACTTACCTTAACCATAAAGATATACTATCCCTTAATTTGATTGACACATAGTGATTAATGCACTCATGCATTTAATCATACACACAGATCCACTTACTGCTGCTTTTAAAAAGTAAAAGGTTTATTTATATACATACTACCAATTCCTAACATATGCCATAATGACAAGAGTTAGTCTGGCCAGGCAAGCCAGACTAGACAAGAGTAGGAGTAAAAGTATCGAATCACTCACAAAACCGACCAAGTTGCAATTGAATGCTGTCACATAGGCTTTGCTGTTGTATAGTTCTAGGAGCTTGGCATACATGATCCAACAGATAAAAGATTGATATAATGAGGAGCTTGAACAACAAACAAAGCCATAGAACTATTATTGAAATTAATCACAGCCAACTCAGGCCTTGCATGTAGATGATCAAAGGTGTGAATACTACACTTGATTTACATCCATGTTTCATTAACTTAAAGGAATTCTATTAATAACAAAAGTCTTTGATCACAGAAAATTAACATTCCAGTTCATCTGTATTAAAAGGTGCATTAGCAGCAAAACTGCATGCAACATTACAATAAGGCGTGGCTAGAGAAGATCTAGCTAGAGTCAGAAGGAGAAATGCTGCACCTTTTCTACTCCTTATTTATTTCTTCCCTCTTTCTCTCCTCTTCTTCTGGTCAAGGTGTATATGGTGATCATTTTAACAGCAGTAGTAGCGGGGATACTCCAATAGAGTCTGGGTCCGGCTCGGACTCTCCTGCCACCACCACCATGCCTCCTACCATCAGTACTGCTATCCCTCCTCCTACTCCTCCACCATGGTTTCCACAAGACTGTCCTTGTCCTTACGGAAAGCACCTAGTTTACTTGGTCCAGCCATCTCCCTGCTACTATGAGCACGAACGGAATTCTAGTAGTGTCCTGAGCCTGACCTCACCAAGAGCCTGTGACATTCACACATATACTGGGATGATAGCTGCTGATTATAACTTTGTGTATAATTCACAACCAGGAGCTCCGGGACTAACATTACTCAATACATTTTGTTTTGAACCTCGCAGCTACAGTGTTATTACTTGGTATCCCAATGGAAAGGTCAGAGTATCATCATGATAATAAAAGATTTTAATGTTTGTCCATTATATATAATTATTTAGGAGGACCTTCCAACTATGGTTAGAAACCTATACTATCATTATAAAGCAGGCAACCCTCTTCATGGTGTCATTGCTCCTCATGATCAAAAGTTATCAGAAAGAATCAATTATGTGGTGGGCAAAAATATTAAGCGACTAGTGGTAAGTGTAGGGACTGTGGTTAAGCTTATGTAGGCGTTATTATTGTTATCATAAATTGTCCTCCCACACTTTATTATTAGATGTCATATTCCACTCCTGGTCTTTTGCAAAACCGCACAGTATATCCTTACCAATACACAACTTCTCCTTCCGAGATATTTCTAAATAAAGTCCGTTTACAAGTCCTATATGACTTCAATTGGAGACGAGTAGCCATTGTTTCTACTGATGATGCATTCTCATCAGAGGTAAGCTAATAATTAGTATCTATCATTTTATTTCTATTTATTATGCTAGGCTGCTGAACAGCTTTTTAGTATCAGCAGAGACAATACATCAATGGACATTAACTTTCCTGGATCATTTCTTCGAGATCCAACTGCTATTTTTGAGCAACTTAAGGTAAACAGGTGTAGTATTTGATGTGTTTACAAAAGAAAGGAAGATTGATGGGATGAATAGTTAGTCAGGCTATAATAATAGCAGGAATGTTATAACAATGGTAATACAGTGGTGTCAGCGGTGTAACAGAATTTGTGGTATATTGTATCTATTATAACTAGTGTATGTTTTGTATTTTGTTTGTAGGAGGATGATTATCGTATATTTGTGGGATTCTTTCCTCTAAAGGAAAGCAGATACATCATTTGTAAAGTGAGCTAAGTATAGTCACTACTGATGTTCCTTGCATGTTGTCCTTGTTGGTCTTTTGTACTTATGCATGGAGTATTGTTTACACTTTACATCTTAATAATCTAGCTTTATCTTAGTCGTTTTATTTGGCTTCTGTTATTACTATTGGCTTAGCATAGGAGGCCCAGTCCATTTACACACAGTGAGTTGTATTTTTTATAGGCAATGAGGATGGGTCTAACTACCAGCCAGCATGTGTGGATATTGCCTGGTATATATGACTATATGTGGTGGCATGACTGCACCTGTGACAATAATGGTTAGTATTTACTATTATTATAGTATGTGATGTTAATATTTTGTATATATACATGTAGATAAGTTCTGTAGTTGTAATGATTGTACTGAGGAGGAGATGAAGTCTGCTATACAAGGAATGCTCTTTATTGATGCCTCTAATCTTCAAATCACTAATGTAACAGAAACTCAAGTAAATCAATACAAAAAACTCTCTGCAAAAGTTATCCTTTCTTGTACATTTTAGGATCAAATACATTGGTTTCATGAATTATTTAATTTCACACGGGATTTTTTTATTTTTCCTTCTATTGTCAATATTACTGAAGAGGATAGACAGTATCTCATTCACTCAAGGGGTACTAATGCCTATGATGCCATTGGCCTATTTTATTCAACGTGGCATGCCGCAGCCCAACGTCTGCTCAGCTCTACAAATGATGTGACAGCTATTTGTGATTCAATGTCTAAACCAATTAGAGATAGTAATGACCAGTTGGATCTCTTGTCTAAGACAATGGTTGATATACTTGAGACACATGTTTTCTGTGGAGTATCTGTAAGTTTTGGATTGCTTAAATTTTAGTATTAATTGTTCTATTTTTAGGGTTACTACAATTATAAAGGGAAGAATAATAATGATGAATTTGGACAGGCTAAAGTCACACAGTTTCAAGGTAACCCTTTATTTGTTTGTTCACAATAGAATTTTTTATTAATTTTGTATACAGATGATCACGAATACACTATTGGTATTTATCGTAACTATGAGTTTTCACCAGATGAGGTTTATTGTCCAAGAAATAAACTAGTTGAACTAAATGAGTCTAGGATAACCTTTAGTCCCTCTTCTCTTTTCTTTTCTAATCTCACCAACTTTAACTTTCGTCAAAAAAACTTTGGCTCTTCTGGTCCATACAGATGGAAAAATAAAAATGGTAAAATATTTATTAGCTTTTTAGAATTTACAATTTTATGTATATCACCGCAGGATCGTTTTTTTACAACTGTTACACTGCACCAACTGATGGAGCATGCCACGATGAGTCTTGCCTCTGCTTTAATCAAATAGAAGAATCAGGAATTAGTCTCTCACTGTTCATAATGTTAATAGGGATAATCACATCAGTACTACTGATCTTATTTAACTTCCACAATAGAAATAACAAGTAAGTGAATCCTGCATGTGCCAGCTTTTGTAGATTAAATTATTTTCCTTTTGTAGACATATAAAGGCTTCAAGCCCTAAGTTCACATTGTTCATTATCATTGGTGCTTTGGTGATGTACGTCTCAATACTATTTCTGGCTCTCTCTTTTTCTGGAAATTTTATCATTAAATCAGAATCTTCAAGAAAGATCGCCCTACCAGTATTCTGTGAAGTTAGTTATAAAAAATGGGAAAATGATTCCCTTTTCTCTTTAGCTTGACAAGTGGCTCTCGAGCCTTGGAATGATCATCACTCTCTCTGCAATGTTGGTCAGAAATTGGAGACTGCACAAGATTTTTTACAACCCAAAGATTGCCAACAGAGTAAGCTAGTTAGCTAGTCTTGTTAATTGTGGCAACTTTGGGCTCAAATAAAGCAGCATTAAGCAATCCCTGTATCTTTATTGTAGAGCTATCTCTCAGATAAAATACTGATACCCATGATGCTACTCCTCATTGCTCCCGTTTGTTTGCTGCTAATAATCTGGTCAAGTACTGATGCTTATAAATACAAGGAAATGTATGAAGCATTTAATTGTACTGACATTGTAAGTTTGTGCTTTATAATCAAGCTCTGTAGTTTGTTTAGATTTAATGTCATCGTGTTATTATTTTGGCTACTCCTTAATCTCTATAATTAAGAGTGTGTGTATGCCTGTGAGATCATCGTATAGTATTGTGTCTGGGAATAATGTTTTGTGTCTAATAGACAGTCTGTTTCCTTATGGTAGCTAGTCAGTCTGAAATGAAACAGCTGGGCCAGGTATGATATGTAGTATATGAAATTTAGGCAATGTGCCAACCCAGCAGTGCATACAATATGATTATTATTATAAAAGATTCTGTTATGTGGTTAAGTGTGTGCATTAGCTTCCTTCCTTTTCATAAATATCATTATGTGCTGTACAATCAACAGCAGCCATTTAAAACAGGGTTTCCCACGGATTTTGGCCAAATTTTTACCTAAAATGAAAAGTAGAGAGTTCCTAATTTTAAAGATTTTTTCTGATGTGTATACATGTTCTTATAATGTGTAAAAAGTTTGAATTGATTCCGATTAAATTTGAATTTTTTACAAATTTTAAATTTGCTCAAAAATTAGGCCAAAGTCCCTGGGCTTTCCAAATTTCCTCAAAAATGAAAAGTAGAGAGTTCCTAATTTTTATAATTTTTTCTGATGCATATACATGTACTTATGTTGTGTAGAAAGTTTAAACTGATTCCAATCAAATTTGGATTTTTTACGAATTTTTAAAAGTTGCTCCAAAATCTGAAAAAATTTTTGGATTTATAGTGACAATAGAACCAATGGGTTTTGCTTGTCACGGATTTTGTGACAATGGAATAAATGGGTTTTTTGGTTGTTATGAAATTTTGCATTTATGACTCTTCTAATGCATGTACACATGTTTTTATGCTGTTTATAAAGTGTGCCAATCAAATTTGGATTTTTTGTGAATTTTGAAAGTTGCTCCAAATGCCACGTACTGTATTGTAGTGCTTGTTGGCTCATGAAGCATGCTCTATAGCTCACTTAGCATGCTTTGTTTGAAATCCTGCTAAGCATGCATGACTAAGCATGACATATGTTTGTTTTCATTATGAACTTAATGAATGATAAAATCCTACTATAGAATATATTATGATGCAACTAATTTGTTTTTAGATTGTTGATGATTCCATTACAACGGAATTAGTAACGTATACTTGCTCTAGCTCACCACAATGGAGGGGACTCCTTGTAATGTACAACCTCCTCCTCTCCTGTGGTCTTATCTTCTTCTCTTATCAAAACGCAAAGATCAGGACTCACTTTTCCCAGGAGGGAGAGTTTGCTGCTAGAGCAGTCTTTGTCGTATTTTTATTTGTCATCCCTGCATTTGCTATTGATTTGCTACTGATATTAACATCAACTAATAGTCTTGGATTGTTTTGGATCAGGCTACTCCTTGCTGCCTCATTCCCATCAGTTGTACTAGGAGGTCTATTTGTGCCAAAAGTAAGTTTTTTGATAATTGCTTGTTTATACTTATCACATATTATGATTACTTTGTAATTGATTGTACTGTTTACATCACTTTGCTTGTGATGTTACAACTCATCTCCGTAAAATGTTTATTTAGTGTTGCCATGATTAGCATGCTACAGTCCTCCAATCACTATCGATCTTTGTATAGATTATATTTATGATGAGAGACAAGAGGGAGCTGGAAAAGTTGAAACAGAGGCAGACACTTTCATTTAGTTATGAAGGGAAAATAAAGGAAATTGATCATCTCAAATCAGTTCTTTCAAAAGTAATAATAAACTCCAACTATGTGAGTACAATGTGTTGTATTTCATTTGATAGAGAGAGTCAATTATTGCCTTGCTTCAAAAACGTGGCTCATTACGCAATGAAAGTTCACCTTTGTCAATGGTAACAACTACTTCAAGCGTTTTCTCTCCTTCCAGTTTCCCAAGTGACTTCTTATCATTCATACCGGAATGATGTGTGTATTCCAATCTAAGAACCTACACACTCAGAGACACAATTTATTTTATTTTTCATTATTGTATTTTTATTGTTAGAAATAGAAGAATCACCATAGTCAATTAGTCATTATGAATGGCGAAAATTGAAAAGGAGAAAATTCTCCATTTTCTTTAATTTTATCACGCCGTGTTAGGTTTTTTACGCAGTATGACGCGTTATGACTCATCAGCCACTATATTGTCTATATCGCCCGCAAAGTAGGTGTGTGTCTAGACTATGATGATACTCAGCAACTTAGAGTAGTCTTGGCAATCCAAGCTTAGAGCCTTCAAATGGCTTTGTCACAGCCTCAGTTGGCCCTTTTCCTAAATTTATTCGTTCTTCTTGGTCTTTGCTTAGTCGCTGACAGTAATTTCACTTGTCCCTGTGGTGAAAATATAGATATATCTCTGGCTGACCTTGTCCCTTGCTATCATAGTGATGGCCAATCATCAGCGGCAGTACTAACGACGCCAAGATCATGCGATTCCTTCATATACGTGGCTACCATTCAGGCAATGATCTATATGACTTCCAGGCGAGACCTGAACCTGCCTCTAATTTACCTAGGCCCTGATACATCTAGCTGGTGTTACACCTTATTTCCAGATATACCAACTTATGAAAACCACCTGCAGGTAAACTTAGTCTTTACTCTACATGGCACATGCATATGGATGGTGATGAGTATTATAGAAATAGAGTATGCATAGGACTACAATGGTTTATACAGTGTAGTAGTGATGTATTTGAATATGCTAATAAAGTGATTGGTTGACTTACTCATGTTGCAAGCTTGCAATCATAGTTACAGTACACAAAGCATTTAATGCCAATAGTGTTGCTGAGTCTTTGATGCTGTTTGCTTGATACTTCTCTTTCCTTTAGGAAGCTCTCCCTGAGGTGATTGGTGAGATATACGACGAGATTAATGCCAATATAACTATAGGAGCTATCATTGGCCCACAGGATCAAGAGCTCTCTGAACTAACAAGTTACATCACTGGAAACAAATTAAAAAAACTAACGGTACAAATAAATATAAGTAATATAATGATAATGTTTAACTTTAACTACTAAATATACCATCATTTCATATTTTCATTGTTTACAACGATTTATTTTAAAGTAATTACTGATAAACATAATTTGTTGCATTATTTCAATTATTTTGCTTTATACGCTCCTTTATTAAATTGTCAGGTATCATATTCCACTCCTAACTTCAAACTCAGCAATCATACTCTGTTTCCCAATTTTTACTCGACGTCTACTTCTGATTTATTTCTAAATAAAGCACGCCTCCAGTTACTCTATGATTTCAGTTGGAGAAAAGTGGCTGTGGTTGCAACAGATGCACTTTACGATGTTCGTTGATGTTAATTTTTTCATTAAGTATTATTATTAATTTTTTAATAGAGAGCTCAAAATTTTTATACACTGGCTAGTAAAAATTTGTCAATGGAGCTAAGTTTTCCGGGAACATTTCGTGACGATCCAACCAACATACTCAGTGACTATAAGGTATAATATGTCTTTGTAGGTATCAGTTGAGAGTTTTTGGTTTTATTACATTTTAGGAGAATAATTATCGCATTTTTGTGGCCTTTATTCCTTTTGATATTAGCAGATACGTCATTTGTAAAGTTAGTATTTCCTTGCCCATCTATACTATACATAGTACAGTACTTCTCCCACACACACACACACACGCACAAACTGCTATCAATATGAGTCAATGACATACACGTAACTGACCCTAATTCTAATCAGTGACAGATGTTATACTTTATAAAATTTTGGCCAGACATAAACTATTTGTATTTGTTTATATATGTGTATATATAGGCAATGAGGATGGGTCTAACTACCAGCCAGCATGTGTGGATATTGCCTGGTATATATGACTATATGTGGTGGCATGACTGCACCTGTGATAATAATGGTTAGTATTTACTATTATTATAGTATAATGATGTTGATATGTTGTATATATACATGTAGATGAGTTCTGTAGTTGTAATGATTGTACTGAGGAGGAGATGAAGTCTGCTATACAAGGAATGCTCTTTATTGATGCCTCTAATCTACTAATAACTAATTCCAATGAATCTGAAGTACGTGTTGTCCTGTACATAATATAATGATTACTAGTGACAATAACTTCATTGCTCACTTTTAGGCTCAAATAAGCTCCTTTCATTGGATATTTAATGTTTCTCGTGACTTGTTCTTTTCAAGTGATACTAACATTACAGAGGATGATAGGCAGTACCTGTTGCATTCTCGTGCTCCTAACGCGTATGATGCTGTTGCTTTGTGGGCACAAATCTGGCACGCTGCAGTAGAGGATCTCTTGAATAAATCAAACGATGCTTCTGCCACTTGTGATGCCATCTCTTCTAATGATCCAAGAGACTCTGAAATGCTGACAGAAAAGATGTTGGATATACTAGAACACAACATTTACTGTGGCGTATCAGTAAGTATGCTAGTATCTTTTCGGTTGAATAAAGATTTATAAATATAAGTGAACTAGCGACTTGAACTATAATAAACATGATGATGCTTTGTGACATAACGTCCCTGTAATAATTCAACAAGACTAGGAGTTTGCACTTTGCTGCCTTCACCAGACATAATAAGTAGTTTTATAGGGACTATTATTAATGATCTTAGTATTGGTTATCTCTACTTTTATGATCAGCTAAGCATGAAACATCCTTGTATAGAGTGAGAAACATAATGGTAGTGAACAGTACAGTATGTTATTAGATTATAGTAATAATGACATGCTACTGAATAAGAAAGCAATTACAGTGTCAAGAGCCAAATAACTGTATAATTGATGCTAGTAGCAACATACTGTTGGATGTTTGACATTGTTGTTGTTTCATGTCGTGTTTATTTCCTTTCTCATGCAGGGTCACTATACTTACTCTAAAAACAATGAATATGAAGAATTTGGACAGGCTTTGGTGACACAATTTCAATGTAAATATTTATGCACTGTTTGAGCAAGTGATCTTTTATCTTTTTCTTTTCTGTTTTTCTACTTAGCTGGTTCAGAGTGCACTGCTGGACAATATACTAACTACAATGTCTCGTGTGAACGTCTCACACTGATACCTATCGATGATTCCCAAAGACCTGATGTTAACTTTCAGTTAGAATTTGTTAATTTCAGTTTCTTTAAAATTGATTCCAATAGACTCATTGTACCATGCCCATACAGATGGAAAAGCAGTAAGTATATTCTGTAACCATTCACAAACTACCCACAAGTATATTATATATTGATGATTGCTTAATATTACTGGTCTGTATGTGGTCTTATTTCACACACGCACACTGTACTCATTCCTATTATGATTTGTTAATTTTGTTTACTATAGGAGTGAATGGTTCGTATTGTCCTGATTGTTATACGCCGCCTACTGATGGTGTCTGTCGTGATGACTCATGTATCTGCTACAATGAGCTTAATGCATGGACAATGAGCTTTGCACTCTCACTGATGATAATAGGAATACTTACAGCTATATTCTTACTGATATTAAACTTTTCCTTTAGGAACAACATGTAAGAGTATTTTAAAGTGCTGTATTTGTTTATTTTTTTGTCGCTAGGCACTTTAAATCCTCAACTCCGATATTCAACATTGTTATTATTGCTGGCTCTATTCTAATGTATTTATCAGTTCTGTTTCTTGTTTTCTCTTTCACTGGAAGTCGCATAGCCAAGACTGAGGAACAAAGAGAGATCCTTTTACCAGTCTCGTGTGAGGTAAGTAGCTATTAAATCTATCTTAATGTCCAGCATTTGCTGTCTTCTCTTTCCTTTAGTTTACAACATGGCTCCTTAATTTAGGAATGGTACTGATACTAGCAACTTTGTTAGCAAGAAACTGGAGACTTTATAGAATTTTTCACAATTCAAAGATTGTGAATAGAGTGAGTATAATATCATTGTTATTACATAATTATAATTATTATCATTGTATCATATTTATATAGAATAATCTCTCTAATGCTCATTTAGCATTAATCATCATTCTTCTAATATCTCCAATGGTTTTATTGTTAATAATATCGACAGCAGTTTCGCCTTCAGAATACATCACTAGGAATGAAACAGATAACTGCCCCCACTTAAATGTGAGTCTTTTTTAATGAAAATTAAGCGCTAGTAGTTCATAATGTACTGTCTTTTCAATTGCTTTTATAGGTAGACGACTCCATTACAACTACACAAGTAACGTACTTGTGTACCAGCTCAACAGAATGGAAAGAAATCCTGATAATGTACAACCTCCTCCTCTCCTGTGGTCTTATCTTCTTCTCTTATCAAAACGCAAAGATCAGGACTCACTTTTCACAGGAGGGAGAGTTTGCTGCTAGAGCAGTATTTGTTGTATTTTTATTTGTAATTCCCGGATTTCTCATTGACATGATACTGCTCCTAGTATCAAGTCTACCATCATTCTGGATCGGTTTCATATTCTCTTTCTTAGCTCCAACCATAATACTAGGAGGACTCTTTATACCCAAGGTAATGATGATATATTATGTGTAATAATAGTACAGTCATTATAAGTTTCTTTAATGTTTTTAGTTCATATTTATTGATAAAGACAAGAAAGAAGAAACAAGAATTGCCCGACAGACCACACTTACCATGAACTATGAGGACAAGATGAAAGAAATAACGCATTTAAAGGCAGTTCTCTTACAGGTAATTATTACCCATACGTTATTCTATATTCATTTATTGCTGTTTTTAGAAAGAAGCTAATATCACTACCTTTACTTCCATGCGTACGCCTTCACCAAGGTTGAAAGATTCACCAGCAACAATGGATACTGACTTACCTGCCTCAAAACACGTGACATTTGATGATGCATCGTGAACAGAGCAAACAATCCTGACATTATATGTACACAGAATATATTTATTCATTTTTAAACTCTTTATTATGTCTTCAAAGCATAATGATCATCCTTCTATTATATGTACTATAAATGATAGCATTATAGTCATAATTTTATTGCTTAAAAAACTATACACTACAAAATGATAGCAGAAGTTACAATAACAACAAAAAGGTAGCATTATGATTAATTAGAGCCTGTGCTGTCCTTCTGAGATGATAAAATGATCTTTTTACAGCAAGTCAAGGTCTAGCTCTCTCAAGTTTCCAGTATCAGTCCTCGTTCCTTCCTCTTTTTTAGGAACTGAGGCTTTTTCCCAATATCCAAAATCAATTTCCTCTTCCTCGGACCCCTCGTTGTCAGACGTGATGCTGTGAAGGGATCTGGGCGGAGTCTGAGGACTGATTCCTGCGGTATTGGTCGCTGGTGGAGGCTGTGTGACCGTCTTTGCTTGTACGCTTTTGAGAAATAGCTCAAATTCTTCTTCTTCATCTTCAACATCAATCATTAGCTTCTTGCTACCTGTAACAAACTGATTAGTAGTTTCTCTATTAAATTAATAATTAATTTTACTTGCTAGCAAGTGGGAACTAATTGTATTCGTGAAAAATATAAAACAAACAACTTGGAAGTTTATTCTGTTCTAACGATGCCAACTCACTTGTTGATTTTGGTTGAGCTGTAATGAGAGATGAGCCAGTATTAGGTCTATTAGTAGCAGTGGTGGTGGTGGTACTTGATGTTGCACGCTTTGTTTTCAAGGCTGCTTCTCTCTTAGAGGCATAATAGGCTACTTCTTCTCTTCTGAGTCTCTCCTCCTCTCGCCTCAATTCCTCGTCAGCCTCCATGTCCTTTCTCATCTGCTCCTCGGCCAGTCTGTCCAGTCGACCATCCCTCACGTACTGTATCTCAGTTTCAGTCACAACAGGGGACCTCTCCGCCTTTTCCCGTTCTTCCAACGTGAGGAGGTTCTCGAATTTGATGTTCTCTACTGTTGCTGTCCTGTATCGGGCCCTCTCTGGCTCGTCGGTCCTGTTACTAATGCAACGAACAAATCCTGTCCAACAGTAAGCCATCTTGAAATAGAGGAGCCACACCTTTTTAGGCGTGGTCATTACCTAACTGACCGCATTGTATCTAAATTTATTCCTTCTCTAATTATAAACGAACAAATTATTTTTAACTTAAAATCATGGGACACATGGAAAAGAAGGTGGAGGAGTCTCACCACTAAGTCCAGTTGAGAGACCAAGAGTAAACCTTAACGTATATTAAATCAAGCCCTCCACTCCTACTATCAGAATCATCATCAATATGGATAAATTGAAAACTCTTGAAGTTTGTAAGATATGCTTCAATGCTTCTAGCCAGAAGGCCAATCCTACTTTGACCACAGAGAACAAGGCATTAATCGAGTCAGCAGGAGGGCCTGGGGGCGGAGTAAAAAAACGCTGTCCCAACTGCAGGCAGTCGTGGAGTTCTCAGAAGGTCGGCTTTGATCCTGACACCAATAGGTGGGTCGTAATTAGACCCCGCCCACAAAAGATGCCTCATTTAACGGACTACACTATGTGCTCTAACATTCAAAAGAAGCAGCTGTGTGGCAAAGGCCCTGGTCTCTGTACTTTTGCTCACAGTCAGATAGAACTGGCCATGTGGAACCACGAACGCTGGAAGGAGCCACGCCCCACTCCTCAGACTGCAGGAGGCGGAGTTCACCAGCTTTGTAAGTACGTAATGACAACGGGTGCATGTACTTTTGGGCAGCGATGCACCTTTGCCCACAGCGAGGGCGAGCTCCAACACTGGAAGGCAACCACAGAGTCTTCTCCGCAATACTATCAGCCTCCATCGTCTTTCAATGCTTATCAGCCACCATCTGTTTTATCTGAAAAACTTTATTGTAATCAGTGTAACATTTGGTGTACGGGTAAGAAGCAGTACGATGAGCACATAAAAGGTTCAAAGCATCGCTCGTTCACAGCTCCCCTCCAGCAGCAGTTCCCTCCTCCCCCGCCCCACCCTGTCTATTACGGTAGCTCTACGATGGAGCCTGTGAACCTGACGATGGATAATAACATGGCAGGAGGGGGAGAGCGTGTGAGGGCTTGTCCTCTTCGGCTACCGGTGGGAGAGTTCCGCATGTGCATGGGTATCCTGACCAAGAAGAGATGCTATTATGGAGATCGATGTACCTTTGCTCATAACCAGACCGAGCTTGAAGCCTGGAACCAAGAGAGACAGAGACTGAGGTGCGAAGAAATGACATTATTAATGTTGCATGTATTTCAAGTTGTGCTCTATCTTCCTTTATTAGGAGGTCACGCTTTGCTGCGGGTCCAGTCACCCAGTTCAATCCTTATCCCATACAGCAGCAGTCTAGCTCTGGTCTTGATGATTTCGACGATGGAGGAGGAGGAGAAGGGGGTGCTGCTCATAAATCGGTTGATTTCGCTCAAAAGGTCCGTACAACTGTCATGCTTGACTTTCAAGATCTGGCAAGAGGAGGAGAAGCAAATAAAGAACTGGTTGGACTCGAGGTATGCTAAGTCACTTTTTGCGTACAGAGCAGCAATGGTGGATGGATTCGTTTTTTTAGAGAACCGTTCAAAACGTGACCATTTCCTTGAGTGGGAATCAAAGTGACACACAAACAGTTTTAGGTGAAACCGGGACTACGTTGTCATGGAACTTTGAAATAACAACAACTGTAAGAGGAGAGAGAGAGAGAGAGAGAGAGAGAGAGAGAGAGAGAGTGACTGAGATGAGAGAGTTTATATTTTCATTCTGTCTTTAAACTACATGTACAGTATACATGTGCATGTACATGTAATACATTTTTAATACTGATATTACATAAAATAAGTACTATTGCTCTTTGAAAAATAATTGGAGAAATCTGTACCTTATTCTTTTATAGTCTCAGACAGCTCTTCATTCAGTAGTGATGTTTGATGTACTCGACACTGGCTTTGTATTCAGGAACGTTGAGCTAGTCTCCAGTATACATGTTCATCAGTTGATCCCCCTCCAGTCTAAAGCTAGCCAGGGGGAGGGTATCCTCATTAATCAATCGCTTAACCCTCACGAGAAGATTATAGTTAAAGTAAAGAAATTAAAATAACTGTCGTTAAAGTGATTCTTAAAACTACCATGTACTATTATGCATATTTCTTATTTTGATTATAATTATTATTATTCTTTTTTTTTTAATACGTGTAGGTTGATTTAGTTAGGACTCGTATTGGTGTTATGGGACAAACTGTCTTGTTTGATTTCGGTTCGTTCTACATGATCCGTTGTCTAACGGTTCATGTGGCCAGCGAACAAGAGAAGCAGTGGAACTCGTCATCCACTGCCACTGCAGGCAAATACAAACCAGAGAAAGTGTAAGTATTCAATGTTAATAATAGCTACATTATATTAAGATTGATCAGTGGTTTCAATGTTACCATGCAAATTTGGCTTCGGTAGCGAAGTATTCATTATATTATTTATTTTGTAGGGACCTGTTTTGGGAACAGCACTACAGGATCAAGAAATGGCCCGAGGACAGCTCAAGGGAACTGGCTGATACCGAACTCCGCGATTATGAGCTGCCGGAGCAAGTGGAAAAACTGATAGAAGGAGGAAAGTACAAAAACGTTGAGCAAAGGATTAAGAAAGTTAGTCGAAGGCTGCTAATTAGAAAATCTGTTTTCTTATTGTTTAATTTCATGAACTGAAAATGCTTTCATTGTTTATAGCTTGTAAAGTTTTTGTATGTCTTTGTTATCATAATACTTTTGTCAGTTTTTTTAAATATGAACTTCTCCATGTGCATATGTACATGTGCACTTGTTACTTGTACATGTACATGACTGTAGGACAGCTATGTACGTAGGATGCACAATCTACTTTACTTGGAGGAATATCAGGAAAGGAAAGACATTAGCAGGTTAATCATTACTATAACTAGGCCTTTTTTATTCTGTTAATATAAATCTTACCCTCTCTCTCTCTCTCCCTCTCTCCCTCTCTCTCTCTCTCTCTCTCTCTCTCTCTCTCTCTCTCTCCCTCTCTCTCTCTCTCTCCCTCTCTCTCTCTCTCTCCCTCTCTCTCTCTCTCTCCCTCTCTCTCTCTCTCTCTCCCTCTCTCTCTCCCCCCCTCTCTCTCTTAGATATGACCTGTATGATGTTAGAGTGGATATAAAAGATAGGCTGGAGATGGTCGGTGTTTGGATAAACGATCCAAACTGCAGTTTCATTACTGTTGAAATGGAAGTGGTCCTATTTGAAGGAAGTTGCTCTGTGAGGTACATTATTATGTGTTATAAATTTTGAGTGATAACCCAGTAAAAATTTATTATAAAGTCATGCTTAATTTAGTGATTTATGATTGTAATTTGCACAGGCCCAATGACTATTGTTATATTCTTCCTAATAATCAAGACGAGGTTCACGAGTCTCTCGTTTATCTTGTTCAGCGTGATGCCATCATTATCAAAATAACTAAAGCAGCAAAGGAAGCATGGTAAGAGAGAGAGAGGGAGGGAGGGAGAGAGGCTCTTATTTTTTTATTTTACTTAATCTTATTCTAGTCTTTTGAGTAATTACCAGTGTTCAATGAGATTCAGTCCAACAAGAACGAGAATGAAAGCAATGCATCAAGTAAGTAATAATGGAATTTTTATCATATTATTATTATTATTATTATTATTATTAATTGTACAGGCTGTTGATACAATGGATCTGGATGTGTTGTTCCCAGATTCTCATTCAGGGCTGCCTGATGCTGTCATTGACCAGCGTATACTGAAGGAGCTTGAGAGATCAACTTTAAACGACGAGCAAAAGAAAGCATTGAGGAGTATGGTCGACCCACGCTACACCGGAGTAAGATTAAAATAATTGTTGTTTTTTTATTTTTATGAATTTTTAAACCTGCTCCAAAGATACCCTGTACCAGGCCTGTACTATAGTACAGATAATTTGAGTAAAAATGACTAGGAGAGAATTCTTAATTTTTACAATTTTTTCCTGATGCATATACATGTAGATGTTCTTTTGTTGCCTAGAATGTTTGAAATGATTTAGATCAAAATTGGATTTTTTATGAATTTTTAAAGTTGCTCAAATTTAGCTAATCATCATTAACTATTGCATATTTTTCTTATACATCTGCATCATTGATTTGTGTTGTAGACATGCATATGTTCATATATCAGCAGTTTATTGCTAATTTCAGTAACACATGTACACAATATCTTTTATCCACAGATACCAACACTGGTACTTGGTCCCTTTGGCTGTGGGAAGACCAGGACAATGCAAGAGTGTATATCAGTCCTGAGCCGCTACATACCCGAAGTACACATACTAATATGCACACACACTAACTCTGCTGCTGATATCTATGTTGAGAGCATTCACTCCGACTGGCTAAGTAAGTAGAGAGAGGGAGAGAGAGAGGGGAGAGAGAGAGAGAGAGAGGGAGGGAGAGAGAGAGAGAGAGAGAGGGAGGGAGGGAGAGAGAGAGAGAGGGAGAGGGAAGTAACATCTTTTTGTAATCTTGTTTACCTATACGTGTGTGCATTCACAGATCATGTTAACATAAGACCCAAGATGTGTAGGATATACTTTAAGGAACGAGACATAAAGACCATCACTCCAACTGTTAGGAGCTACTGCAAGTAAATACCGCCTGTACATTATACTATAACCCTCATTTATTTATTTATTTGTTTAGCATCAGTGAGGGCTCATTTTATGATGTCCCATGTGACCAGTTGATGAATTATTCCATTATCGTCACCACAACCGTCACTGCTCGTATCCTATTCCTAAGTGGCCTAAGGAAAGGATTCTTCACTCACATATTCATTGATGAGGCAGCGCAGGTAAAGGATTGACGGGGAGAGGAGTATTTGTGATTATATTGTATTACTGATGGTAGGTCTATGAGCCTGAGGTTCTCATCCCTCTCTGTCTCTCTGATAAAAATACTAAAGTCGTTCTTGCTGGCGACACCATGCAGGCAAGCCCTGGTAACTTACTGTAACTGCGTGATTTTCATTTCATTTCAGGTCGACCCTCCTGTGTATTCTCAAATTGCTAAGCGTTACGGTCTCAATGTCTCTCTCCTGGAGCGACTCTTTGACCTTGAGTATTACTTAACTGGTCTAGGAGGAGACTGTAGGATCAGCCTCACTCAGAACCACAGGTCACACGAACAGGTAACACAATGATTGACTGAATTTAGTGTTTTTTTAAATCTCAACTTGTTTCTTCTCCAGATTTTGTCGCTGCCATCAAAGCTCTTCTATAACAATCGTTTAACATGTAGGGCTCAGTTTCAGCCTGATGGCCCCAAGCGTGTCCCTCCTCTTCAGTTTATTGGAGTCGATGGGAGAGAGAGACAAGACGTTGACTCACCTTCTTTCTATAATGATGAAGAAGCCTCTAAGATTGTTGAAGAGGTTAGCCATGTAGCCAGCCTATGCAGTACATCATAACTGAATATCAAATTGTATTTTCATGTACCACAAACTCCTGTAATCTTGTTTGATACATGAAGTACTATTGGTGATTTTGATACACACAGAGACAAAGCTTCATTATTTTTGGCCTTATAGTGTCTTGTTTTATCTGGTATAGGTTGAGACTCTCTGCAGAGGGTCTCAGATTCCAAGTCAGTGTCTGCCTCAAGAGGATATCTGTGTCCTGTCCTTCTTTTACTTGCAAGTGAAGAGGATCCGATCAAAACTAAGAGAAAGGAAGCTCGGAAATGTAAATTTAGTATCATCAATTCAGTATTGTTATCTTTTGTTGGCGTATGCATTTTGCATGTACATGTATGTAGGTCCAAGTTTATAATATCACTAATGTTCAAGGTAAAGAGTTTCGTGCTCTCCTCATATCAACAGTACGCACCAGTCACACTCATGAAGACACTGATGAAGGATTCCTTAATAACATTAAGGTAGAGAGAGAGAGGGAGGGAGAGAGAGAGAGAGAGAGAGAGGGAGAGGGAGAGAGAGAAGAAGAGGGAGGGAGAGAGATTTAAAATTCACATCTCTCTTCCTTTGCAGTTATTCAACACTGCTATCACAAGAGCCAGGGAATGGTTGATAATAGTTGGTGAGCCAGTCACACTCTGTACTGTGGGATACAACGCCCAGTGCTGGCTTGAACTCATTAAGAAATGCATAGAGACTAACACCTTCAGATATCCACGGAGCGAACTCTTTCTTAACTTCCTCGAAACTAAGAAGGTTGCACGTCACATTCTTCATCAGCATCACAAGGAGTTTATCACAAAAGCCAACACTGCACAGGTACAGAATGCATCATATAATATCATTTATGATTAGGCCTATTCCTTCCTTAGGGTGCTCTCTCTAATCACTCAATTGGCTCAGACATTAGGTAAGAGAAAAGGTGATAAATCATTATTTTATTTACTTTTTCTTTATGTCTGATTCAGGCCATTAGCTCAGCAGTTCAATGCACTCTCAATATCACAGCAACAGCAACATTTACAGCAACAAAAGCTCTATCTGGTGAGGGCTAGAGTCCAGAACTTGATGACAACCCAGGATCAGGATATAGCTATTAAAATAACTGGTATTACTGTGTAGCTGTGTTAAGTACTGCTACCAAATGAACTTATTTTAGATGATATACTAAAGAGAGAGCCTAACTTTATGATTGTTGGTGATGATGCTGCTGCCAAGAGTGTTAGAGATCGTGAAGGGGCTTACAAGAGGTAGAAATACTATTAATCATTATCAATGATTATTATTATTGTTGTTGTTTTTGTTATAATGTTAGGCTAGCACTAGGACAAATAGCAGTTCCATCTAACCCTCCACCACTACAGCAGCAACAGCAAACCCAATCAAATCCTAACAGTCAGTCGAACCTTGCTAACATGATGGGTAGGTAGCCATTTTAGCTGTTATCAAATGAGCCTTCTCTTTATCTCTCTCTCATTAGGTGATCTTCCTCCTTTCCTTAAGAATCAGGTTGACAACCTCACATGGCATTTGAGGTTTTGTGAAACTCAGAGAACTAACCCTTCTCTTCCCTCTGAAGTAGTGGCCAACCTAAATGAGCAGAGAACAGTCTTGCTCCAGCAAATGACACTACTCAATGAACAGATTAGGAAATACAGAGTTAGTATAGCAGCAGCTATCTTTACATTGAACAATGCCCTGGTATCTCTGTAGGACTACTTAAAGTTGACTAAGCATCAGCACATGATTATTGGTGGGACTAATCACCAGATTCCACCTGAACTCTCGCAGGGTCTTCCGCCTCAACTGAGTCAAGTACAGCCACAGCCTTTCCCTTCGCTCCCCACGTCGCTCCTCTCTCATCCTCCACTCCCTAGTCTCCAGCAGTTTTCACAGCAGCCATTGCTGCCGACCATTGGGGCCCAGCCTACCCCTATGTCATTTCATAATTATTCTTATCACCAAGCTAGTCAGCCTCTCATGGGAGCTTATGGCGGAGGGAGAGGGAACGTGATGTCACAGCAAATGACTAATCCAATTAGGATGAGCAATGGTGAGTCTGTGCAATAGCCTATACCCTTAAAGCCACTATTATTTGAAAGTATTTAAAAATTGGAAAAAATTAGTACTCGCATTTATTAATAATTTAGGTTTATTAATAGTTATTAATTGAAAAATGAGCAAAATTGCAAAAAAAATTAGTACACGCTAATTCAATACCATTCTACTTAAAAATAAGTGGCTTTAAGGTATGCTCTTCAAGCCTCTGACAGTTTAATGTATACCATATATATATATATATATATATATATATATATATATATATATATATATATATATATATACTCTGTACTTTTTGTCCAGTTGGTGTTCCTGGATTGATGGGTCATTATCAGTCAGTGGGAGGAAGTGGAGGAGCTTCTCATGTGATGAATGCTAACAATCCTGCTCAAGGAGGTATTGCTATTAGCAACACTGTGTCTGTTTTTATTATTATTATTATTATTATTATTATTATTATTATTATTATTATTATTACTATTATTATTGTGTAGGAGTAAGAATTGTGAGACCAGCACAGCCTCAACAAGTAAGAGATCAGATGGTACAGGGCATTTTATCAAAAATGACTATGAGAAATTTCTCCTTTTTAATATTTTTCCTGATGCATATACGTGTACTTATGTTGTGTAGAAAGTTTGAGCTGATTCCAATCAAATTTTGATTTATTGCAAATTTTTGAAGTTGCTCAAAAAATTTTGCCAAAATTGAAAAGTAGAGAATTCTCCATTATTATAATTTTTTCTGATGCATATATATGTACTTATGTTGTGTAGAAAGTTTGAGCTGGTTCCAATCAAAATTGGATTTTTTACGAGTTTTTAAGTTTACTCCAAAATCAGGCCAAAAGTCCCTGTACTATAGTGCAGGGATTTTGGTCAAATTTCACCAAAAATGGAAAGTAGAGAATTCTCAATTTTTATAATTTTTTTCTGATGCATATACATGTACTTATGTTGTGTAGAAAGTTTGAGCTGGTTCCAATCAAAATTGGATTTTTTACGAGTTTTTAAGTTTACTCCAAAATCAGGCCAAAGTCCCTGTACTGTAGTACATGGTCTCGGGCCAAGTTTTGGCAAAAATGACTAGGAGAGAATTCACCATTTTAATAATTTTTTCTGATGCATATACATGTACTTAACATGTGTAGAAAGTTTGAGCTGGTTCTGATCAAATTTGCATTTTTTACGAATTTTTTATTCATTAGTTTATTGTTTATTTGTACATGTACGTGTATTATATAGGCAGTAGCATATATGTACATGTACATGTATGTGAATTGCAGTCTAGTAATAAACCAATGCGACTCCTCATGGTGCCATTGATTTACTTGACACATTTATTTCAGATGGTTAACTCTCAGCCCCCACTGGGTCCTTCTCATCCAGCCCCTCTCCCTCCACAAACCAATCAGCTCATCTCCCCTATCAATGATTTGCCTAAGCAACATCAATCTACCTGGGATAGTGATGAAGACTTTGACTGAGAGAGAGAGAGAGAGAGAGGGAAGGGAAAGAGAGACAAGACTTAGAGTGAAGCGATTACAGTATATGCATCAATGCACTGACACACATACACATAATGTGTGTGTGTGTGTGTGTGTGTGCATATAAGAGTCCCATTTTGTAATGGATTATTTTGTAATAGAATTATTTTATGCATTTTCAATCAATGTCATTGTTGGCCTTGCCTATGCGAGGTATAGGTATCTGTGGTTGTTGTCATTACCCGAGCCACGCGTAGGCGTGAAGCAAGGGTAAAGCCAAAGATGAAGCCTAACCTCCTTCAGTTTATAGGAGCGACTACAGAGGGTAATCCAATCATCCTGACAGAGCTAATGCCGACCAGCCTAAGAAAGGAATTAGAGACTGGAGGACTGGCTTATCCTGCCATACTGAGCATCAGTTTAGGCGTAGCCTGTGCTCTCAATTACCTTCATCTCTTGTTATCTTATTGTTATGTTATGGGAGGTGGGGGGTGGGTACGGTTATGGTTGGAGGGTTAAAGTATCAGATTATGGTACAGTGTTAGCCTCCAACCTCTTACAAGCACATGCAATCCTGTCTATTTAGCTCATTGAACGTTGTTTGATAGAGAACTACACACAGCATCTGACATTATAAATGAATAAAACAAAAACTTGAGTGAAGTAGTGAATTAGTTTTATACTTTTAACTTTCTTTAGATACAGAAATGATTTTGTAGCTATTCATTAATTAATTATACTATTGCTTTACAGTCTTTTTAATTATATAGACTTTAATTTTTAATGATTTTTAATTTTTGGTGATAAACTGATACCGGTAACTGAAATACGAATGCCCCCAGCTGTTACTGACTTACTGTTACACCGCCTCGTGTTACACTTTTAGAATATCCTGTTATGGGTGCTCTACCATGTCTACTGCTGTTATGTGCTCTAATTCATCTCGTGTCATCTGTATCAAGAAGTGTTAGATGCCGTGGGACTTATTATCGTCGTAAGGAGACCCTTTCAAATATAAAACTATTCTTTCCTCTCTTCTCTCTAGCTAATGAAAGCTGTATGTATAAAGGTCCGGGATATTCTAAATTTTACTACGACAGTTATGAAGATTCCTGTAGAGTTTTTGTCTATCGTGAATGTATTTATGAGCCGAACAGTGGATATTATGGCAATCCTCATAACATGTTTGACAAACTGAGAGATTGTCAAAACACGTGTTTTTGTAAGGCTCTCTAATCTCTATTATAATTATCTTTTATGTAATTTTGTTATTATCGCTAAGCAGCACTATTGTACCTGATATATAGATTAATGTGTATGGCATAGCCTCCCAGTGTTCACCTCCATTTAACAGACAGCACATTCCTTACTGTACATGATAAAATAACATTCACATATAGGACACCTCTGTATAACAGAGCAACTTTCCTGTACTGAAGTGTCCATTATATACTGCTATATTTAATCAATTTTTTTGCAGCTCCCATATATCCTCCCTCCAGCAGCTCCACATCATCCCTTCATACTTCCAGTTCAACATTAATGATTAATCCAACTCAGTCTCTTACAGTTTCTGCTTTTGGAACATCACCATCAACTGATGATGAACTCTCTTTTTTTGGAGCATCAACTGATGATGAATTCTCTTTTTTTGGAGCATCAACTGATGATGATTTCTATTATGCTGGAACATCAGCTGATACCTTATTCTTTCTACCAACTCTCACTCCTTCCTCCTCTTCCTTTCCCTCTTCATCAACTCCATTTCTCTCCTCACTTACTTCCAGTTCAATCTCTCCATCTTTTTCTGTCCCCTCTCCTTCTCTCTTTCCCTCTCTTACTCTCTCTTCTTCTTCTCTAGCTCTCTCTCTCTCTCTTACTCTCTCTTCTTCTTCTCTCTCTCCCTCTCTCTCATCTCTCCATACTTTCCCTTCTTCCTCTTCTGTTTCAACCTCTCAACCTGATCTCACCATTTCTTCAACTTCCAGTACATCCGAGCTTCTCAATCAGTATTTCTTCATACCTGGTTCCATACTACTTGCAATAATCATCATGATCCTACCAATGTTGTACATTATTATCTTTTGCTATATGAGATTTTCTGCCCTTCGAACTGTAAGTCTTAAAATTGTTCTGAGGATAATTATTGTCATCATTATTATTGCTGTTATCATTACCGGTATTATTATTGTTATTTATTGTGCTGTTATATTTCTTTTAAAATTGTTATTATTTTTTTGTAGGGACGGCCTTCTACTAGTGCTATGGAGACTGAAGCAGCCTCTACCAATGCTATGGAGACTGGAGCAGCCTCTACCAATGCTATGGAGACTGGAGCAGCCTCTACCAGTGCTATGGAGACTGGAGCAACCTCTACCAGTGCTATGGAGACTGGAGCAGCCCCTACTAATGCCATGGAGACTGGAGCAGCCTCTACCAGTGCTATGGAGACTGTAGCAGCCTCTACCAGTGCTATGGAGACTGGAGCAACCTCTACCAATGCTATGGAGACTGGAGCAGCCTCAACCAATGCTATGGAGACTGGAGCAGCCTCTACCAATGCTATGGAGACTGTAGCAGCCCCTACTAGTGCTATGGAGACTGTAGCAGCCTCTACCAGTGCTATGGAGAATAAAGCAGCCTCTACCAGTGCTATGGAGACTGGAGCAGCCTCAACCAATGCTATGGAGACTGTAGCAGCCTCTACCAATGCTATGGAGACTGGAGCAGCCTCTACCAGTACTATGGAGACTGGAGCAGCCCCTACTAATGCTATGGAGACTGGAGCAGCCTCTACCAGTGCTATGGAGACTGGAGCAGCCCCTACTAATGCTATGGAGACTGGAACAACCCCTACTAATGCTATGGAGAATAAAGCAGCCTCTACCAGTGCTATGGAGACTGTAGCAGCCTCTACCAGTGCTATCGAGAATGAAGCAGCCTCTACCAGTGCTATGGAGACTGGAGCAGCCTCAACCAATGCTATGGAGACTGGAGCAGCCTCTACCAATGCTATGGAGACTGGAGCAGCCCCTACTAATGCTATGGAGACTGGAGCAGCCTCAACCAGTGCTATGGAGACTGGAGCAGCCTCTACCAGTCCTATGAAGACTGGAGCAACCTCTACCAGTCCTATTGAGGCTGGAGCATCCTCTACCAGTCCTATGGAGACTGCAGCAACCTCTACCAGTGCTATGGAGACTGGAGCAGCCTCAACCAATGCTATGGAGACTGGAGCTGCCTCTACCAGTCCTATGGAGACTGGAGCAGCCCCTACTAATGCTATGGAGACTGGAGCAGCCTCAACCAGTGCTATGGAGACTGTAACAGCCTCTACCAGTGCTATGGAGACTGGAGCAGCCTCTACCAGTGCTATGGAGACTGTAGCAGCCTCTACCAGTGCTATGGAGACTGGAGCAGCCTCTACCAATGCTATGGAGACTGGAGCAACCTCTACCAGTGCTATGAAGACTGGGGCAGCCTCTACCAGTGCTAAAAAGAAGAAGAAGAAGAAGAAGACTGGAGCAGCCTCTACCAGTGCTATGGAGACTGGAGCAGCCTCTACCAGTGCTAAAAAGAAGAAGAAGAAGAAGAAGACTGGAGCAGCCTCAACCAGTGCTATGGAGACTGTAACAGCCTCTACCAGTGCCATGAAGACTGGAGCAGCCTCTACCTGTGCTATGGAGACTGGAGCAGCCTCTACCAGTGCTAAAAAGAAGAAGAAGACTGGAGCAGTCTTTATCAGTGCTATGGAGACTGGAGCCACCTCTACCAGTGCCATGAAGACTGGAGCAGCCTCTACCAGTGCCATGGAGACTGGAGCAGCCTCTACCAGTGCTATGGAGACTGTAGCAATGTTTACCAGTGCTATGAAGACTGTAGCAGCCTCTACCAGTACTATGAAGACTGGAGCAGCCTCTGCCAGTGCTATGAAGACTGTAGCAGCCTCTACCAGTGCTATGAAGACTGTAGCAGCCTCTACCAGTACTATGGAGACTGGAGCAGCCTCTACCAGTCCTATGAAGACTGGAGCAACCTTTATGGAGACTGGAGTAGTCTCTACCAGTGCTATGAAGACTGAAGCAGCCTCTACAAGTGCTAAAAAGAAGAAGAAGAAGACTGGAGCAGCCTCTACCAGTGCTATGGAGGCTGGAGCAACCTCTACCAGTGCAATGGAGACTGGAGCAACCTCTACCAGTGCTATGGAGACTGGAGCAACCTCTACCAGTGCTATGGAGACTGAAGTAGCCTCTACCAGTGGTAAAAAGAAAAAGAAAAAAAATAAAGGCAGGAGCAGCCTCTCTACCAGTGCTATGGAGACTGGAGCAGCTTATCTATAACTAGTAGTGATTTATACTCAACTCATCATTTAGCCTTTTCTCTCTTTCATTGACTCTAGTTTCTCATTATTATTTCAGTAATCATTGATAGTGACATTCATAGTGATCAGGAGTGATGTGACAGAGCAGCATCTGATGACATGGCTAATAAGGTTGTAATTTTAGCAACATCTTTGCTCTTTCTTTCTTGTAGTCGCCCACAAACTGCCAGTGAGGGGGACTCTGACAAATGTTGTTTTAAGGTTGATGAGAAGACTAAACAGATTATAGACAGTGATGGTAAGACTGTATAATATATAAGTATGATATTAGATCTATATATGTTATCAATTTGCTTCTTATAAAAATTATTGTCCTTGTAATAGGTAAAGCAAGACTCTTTCATGGTGTGAACATTGTAAGCTTCATTGTAATACTTTTCTATTGCTATTTATAACTTTAGGTGTTCAAGTCATTTCCATTTCATCCCAACAATGGTAGCACATTTGATCCAGAGTATTCACTGAACGAAGAGGATATTCAGTTCCTCTCTGATAATGGGTTTAACGTCGTTAGGTTTTATGTTGCATGGCCTGGAGTAGAACCAGTCAAAGACCAGTACAACAGTACCTACCTGGATGTAAGCTGCACCTACATATCATGTCATGCATTAATATTGTATTATACTAGGTTATTGAGGATTTTGTGAACAAGCTGGGAAAGAAAGGGATATACTCAATCCTGGATTGTCACCAGGACCTTTGGTCTAGAAAATTTTGTGGTATTAAGTTGTAATGTTTAATATCTAATGGATGTGTTTATTTTGTTGTAGGTGAAGGAGCGCCTGATTATGCTGCACTTTATGAGAATCGTTCTATCAAGCCACTTCCTTTCCCAGAGCTATTTCCTCAGCTTAGTCCTTTCAAAGTGGACCCTGCCACCGGGTGAATACTCATGCATAATCAAGGATTATTAGTATAAGTTCGTTTTATAGATATCCTTATCCAAAGGACTGTCAAAAGCATAGCTTCTTTACGTATTATTTTAGTGATGCTGTGGGGAAATCAGTGTAAGTTACAGCTACCATATGGTACCATACCTTATCCTGGGATAATAGGCAAAGCTTGTTTGACAATGAGCAGGATATCCAGGAGAGGTTTGGATTGTTCTGGGGCAAAGTTGCTCAAAAGTTTTCTAGCAATCCTTATGTACTAGGATATGAATTATTGAATGAGCCATGGGCTGGTGATATATACAGTCACATTGATCAGACTGAACCAAGTCAGCAGCTCGCAATGATAACGATTGCATTCAATTGCACTGGCATACAATAGGTGTTGCTGACAAAAAGAATCTTCAGCCATTGTATTCAAAGCTACACAATGCCATCAGACAATACGACACTGAGCATATCATATTCTTTGAGCCAACAGTCATATTCACTAGTGTATGTTAGTATGTACTTTAATTCATTTCTTGCTTTTGCTTTTTCTTTAGCTTCCTGATAAAAAGTTCTCATCTACAGGATTAACAGAAGGTCCAGGAGGTCCAGACTACAATGACAGGTTGCCTTAATTTTATAAACTCATTTATTAGTGCAATTCTGCAGGCAAGTCTATTCTTACCACATGTATTGCATCATAATGGACAGTATGGGCCAGGTAAGCTATTGGAAGTAGCTTGTTTTATTGTTAAAATAGCCTTCAAATGCATTTCTCTGTGACCTGTTGGATGAGGACCTGTTTAACATAAGAATGTCAGACTTGCAGAAACTATCCACTGGAGGCTTTATGACTGAATGGTATATATAGCAATGAGTGTTTTGATATATTAATATTATGCATCTTGCATGTAGGGGAGCATATACTGCATTGTCCCCTGGTTCTGCTGCAATGAGTGATGCTCTTGAGTTAATGGTGAAACAACATATGCCAAAGATCTATTCTTTCTTTTATTTCCTTTAGAAATTAGCTGACAGTCATTTGCAGTCGTGGTCCTACTGGCAATATAAAGGGTATGATAGTTATTGAGTGTTCATGCAGTATTATCATGATTCTCCAGGTATGGTGATTTTACAACACAATCAGACACTGATGAAGGCCTGTATTACAAGAATGGCACTGTCCAAGCTGAGAAACTAAAACTTCTCTCCCGCACATATGCCCATGTAATGACACACTCATAATTTAGTCATTTATGTTTATATGCATGGATACAGGCTGTGTCAGGGCGATTCCTTAACACTTCATTTGATCAAGTTACTTCAAAGTTCTCACTGACATTTGAAGCTGATACTTCAGTTAAGAGTACAACCGATTGCTTGATATACCTCAATGAGAAACTGTACTATCCAAATGGGTACAATGTCATGTATGTATCATGTGCATGTTTTAGTCGCTTTTGAATCTGGTTGTTGTGTATTATTATAGTGTCCATCCTAATGCATCAATGAAAGTTTTCAAAGCTCCTAATCAAGTAACTCTTAATTTCACCAGCGATGCAATAGATGGACAGGTTAATAGCTTCATTTCTTTGTGATTTATTATTATTTTGATTTTATACGTAGGCTATCATGGTGACTATAGATTTGAACTGATCATGAATTTGAATTTGTTGATTTGTTTTTTTTATAGAAGTGGCTGTTTTTGTTCTAAAAATAAGTGATTATTTTTAATTTTTATATAATTATTATAAAATCTATTTTAACTGGGTGGAGCTGAGTTGATCAATGATGAAGAAGCTCCTTTTCTCTTTCTTGTTGTTTCTTTATTCTAGCGGTGTCCCTGTCTTTTGCAGTGACTTCAACTGTACCTCGCTTCCTCCGCTATCTCGTCAAGCTGGCACTGTACATGAGCTGAGGCCCCAAGACATTAAAGTTGTCATGGCTTTTGGTGACAGCATCACCGCTGGTGAGCTGATAAAATTTATACACTGATTTGTTATCATTGTTCTAGGTTTTTCAATGAAAGGGATTCATGGTCTTGATACTATATATGAATACAGGGTAAGACTCTTATGTAGGCTGCAATAAACTGTCATATGCACTGCAGGGTCTGTCCTGGAGCATTGGTGGAGATCCAAATGCTACCACAATACCTGGCTTTCTGAAAACCTACACACCAGACCTAATAGGAGCCAGTTTGAAGTCACATATTTTAGAGGTAATCCTATGTAACGTTTTTCACTTTAGTACACTTTGCTGAGATGGCATAGAGCTGAAATAGTTGTCAATTTTCGTTTAGTTTTGTTATGGTGATGCATGTATTCCTGATCAGCATAGACCGTCTGAGGATGTGTTCAATGCTGCCCAGACCGGTGCAATGCTCAGTAATGTCAATAAGGAAGAGTATAAGTACCTTTATGAGCAAGTCAGCAAGGTAGATATATATATTTATATCTGGAATTAGTACAGTAATAATAATAATAATAATAATTTTAGAATAGTAAAATTGACATGAAGAATGACTGGAAGTTGTTAACTATCCTAGCTGGTTTTAATGATCTTTGCTTAGGGTAAGTGCATTGGTTTTATTCATATACTGATCGTATTCATAGATGTTCTGGCAAAGTCCCAATACTGACGCCTGACGATTTTGAGTCTAAC